CCATTGTCAGCCGATGCTTCCCTTGTCCAGTTATAATGGCGAATGCTCGTGCGGAAGGATCATCTTCGCAGTCGTACGTAAAATATCTAGCAAGCCGTGCTATGAGATATCGAGTTCTGCCGTGTCTCAAAAGTTCGGCGAGAACCCTTACCTACGACCAACCTGACCAAGGATAATAAAAGAACTGTCTGGTTCATCAATGGTACGGATATTCAGAGGTGTGTTTTTTTTCGTCATGCTTCAATACAGCTGATGGACTCGATCAGGCACATATCCTTTGCAGGAAGCTATGATCACAGAGTGACAATCTCAAATGGGTACATAGTGGCTTTAGAATATCACTACTATTCTTAACTGTGTCGCAGTGAGAACTATTTTCAACCAGCCTAATAATACAACACTGCTGCGCACAGTAGCATTCCTGGTCCACTCGTGGCCTACAAAAGTCTTGACGCGGCAACCGAGGTCTTTCCGCCCAGTTGATCTCCTTCCCCACTTACCTCAAAAATCGGGAAAAATGCAGTTCTGTACGACGAAGGACTCCCGGATTTTAACCGTACGACCAGTGTATAAAAGTCTGCAAATGACTGGCGTAGAATCCTCAGTTTGACAGTTAAGCACCGTTGAACTACTCTGCGATGTTCCCAAAGGCCGCGCTCACCGCTCTCTCACTCCTCGCGATCGTATCTGCCCAGCAGATCGGCACATATACCACTGAAACCCATCCGTCTCTCACTTGGTACCAATGCACCACTTCTGGCGGTTGTACTTCAACCAGCGGCAGCGTTGTTCTTGATTCCAACTGGCGCTGGACTCACGAAGTAGGCAGCACTACGAACTGCTACACCGGTAACACATGGGACACGACCCTCTGTCCCGACGACGTCACATGCGCATCCAACTGTGCCCTCGATGGTGCCGACTACTCTAGCACCTACGGAGTCACTACCAGCGGCGACTCCCTCCAGCTTGACTTCGTCACTGTCAGCTCCGGGACAAACGTTGGCTCTCGTCTCTATCTCATGAGTTCCGACACCGAGTACCAACTCTTCTACCCTCTCAACCAAGAGTTCACTTTCGATGTTGACGTTTCTCAACTTCCATGCGGTCTCAACGGTGCTGTCTACTTCTCGAGGATGGACGCTGATGGTGGTGTGGCCAAGTACCCCGCCAACAAAGCTGGTGCTCAGTATGGTACCGGTTACTGCGACTCTCAGTGCCCGCGCGACTTGAAGTTCATCGCTGGCGAGGTACGTCTTACAACTATTACGATTTGAATCATAACTGACTTGTTATCAAGGCCAACTGCGCGGGCTGGACTCCATCCACCAACAACGCCAACACTGGCATTGGCAACACTGGTGCCTGCTGCCCTGAGATGGATATCTGGGAAGCCAACTCCATCTCCGCTGCCGTCACTCCCCACCCCTGCTCGGTCCTCGAGCTCACCACTTGCACTACCACTGACTGCGGTGGCACTGATACCCCTGCCACTCGCTACGACTCCGTTTGCGATCCCGATGGTTGTGACTTCAACTCTTACCGCATGGGCGACACCACGTTCTACGGCCCGTCTATGACCGTTGATACCACTAAGACTCTCACCGTCGTCACACAGTTCATCACTTCCACCGGTACCTCGAGCGGTGACCTGACCGAGATCGTCCGCTTCTACGTCCAGGACGGCGTTGTCATTCCCAACTCCTACACGAACATCGCGGGCATGTCCTCCTACAACTCCATCTCAACTGATTTCTGTAACGCCCAGAAGTCTGCCTTCGGAGACGAGACTTCGTTCCAGGACCAGGGTGGTATGACTCAGATGGGTGCAGCGTTCGCTGACGGAATGGTCTTGGTTCTCTCGCTCTGGGACGATTACGCATACGACATGCTGTGGCTCGACTCTGACTACCCCACCAACGCCTCCGCCAGCACCCCCGGTGTTGCCCGTGGAACTTGCGCTACCACCTCTGGTGTCCCCGCCACCGTCGAAGCCGATTCCCCCAACGCCTACGTCACCTACTCGAACATCCGCTTCGGTGATCTCAACTCCACCTTCTCCGGCACTACCTCGTCTTCTGGATCGGGATCTTCCAGCTCCGCCTCGGCCACTTCGACCTCCACTACCACCACGACCTCCACGACCACCTCGAGCGCTTCCGGCGCCACTCAGACTCTCTACGGCCAGTGGTAAGTTTGTTTTTTGAGCATATATTCGATAGTCTTAATCACATTTATTCTTAGCGGTGGTGAGGGCTGGACTGGACCTACTGTTTGCGCTTCCGGCAGCACCTGCACTTACAGCAACGCTTACTACAGCCAGTGCCTTGCGTAAACTCGCGCGGGTTCCCTCCAAGATGTGTTCTCTAACGAAATATGGGCTGTCGTTGATCGATTGGGTTGTAAATCTACCTAGGCCTATTTGTCATTTGTCATTCTGAAATTTATTTGATTCGCCGCGGCAATACCAGTTGGAGTGAATGTAAGATTAATAGCTTCGCAGGAGGAAATACCATGCGAGTTGGTCGTCGCTCTATTTCCTACCCACCACCGAAGGATACAAACGCAGGCACAGTTTCTACTACTAGGACTCGGTCAATATATTTTGAAGCTTGAAGACTTGGGAAGAAACGGGACGACGCGGGCTGCTACAGAAGATCATGGGACATGTCGAGAGACGTCGGGGCGTTTTATTGGGCATAGGAACTCCCACGCCCCGTAATTTTCTAAAGCTGAGATACAGAAATTTACAGGCAATGATTTCCTCCGATTCCCACCATTCTAGACCCTGTCCAAAAATTACCGTGAGTTCGGGAGGTTGGCCAATTGGCATCGGGTCAGGCATGTGCATGATTGATGGTCCTCTGAGTCGATGCTGTCTTAATGCTCGCTAAGGTTACTAACAAACGGAATTCGCGGGAGAAAGTGGCAAGCATGCTTGAAATGCTTGAAACAATTTACCTGTTGGTCAAGAATGGGCATGTCTTTGTTATCTGTGCCCCAGTCGCAATTTCTAATATCATCATCAGTTTAAAGATCTTGAACCTTGCCTCCAGTTTGAACGGTCAACAGGAACCTTCGAAGGTGTATCCTCAACTGCGTCTACTAGCATTCCAAAGTACTCGTCTCCTTCAAGTTGAAATCCCCTTCAAGTCAAGCGTCGGTGTTGTTCTATGAAGGATATGTCCAGAATCCAGATATACAGCGGACTTTCGTGACAGCGAAATTCCTCTGAAGAGGATTGTGGTGGATGAAAACCATACAACTTAGGCCCCGGCAATAATTGTACTCTCGGGCCGTATGTGAGATATTTGTTGAGATTGGGGATTAGCCAGTTCGAGGGTTGGCGTGCCATTCTCAGGTGGCTCTGCAGTGACAGCACGAGGGCCGCCTGGGTCATAGATAGGACCCAAGTCCGACTCCGTCTGTTCATTTCCCTTTCCCACTTTTGTTTTTATTAAAAGTATGTTCCGGGATGTTCAATTGTATGCCTCGCTGACATGCCATCACTGTAGAGGTTAAACGAGACCTCGATATCTTCACCATCAACCTTATTGTTATCATTGTTATTGTTACTATAAGTTGCGTTATGACGTCGAGCAATGGCATGCAGTGTATCCATTTTCTTTGTATCAACCGTATTAAGTATACATAGTCCACAAAGATGAAATTCACAAAAACTACAGCAAGGAATGCATTAAGGGGGAATCGAACCCCCGGCGGGTCGAGCTAGACTCGCATCATGCATGGCAACGACCCAGGTTACCACTACCCCATTAATGCTTGCAAAGGTTCGACAAGTATAACAATATAAGCAGAATCGAAGAGGACGAACCGAGCTCAAAAAGACTCGTTCAATTACACCTGGTGAGCAGAACGTCCATCATGTTTCGTCGCAAAGGGTTGACAATGACAAGTAGATTATCCGGGGTAAATGAGGGGCAGGTGTCTGATGGGACAAGGAAAAGCAACACAGCCACCACTTGTTCGCTTTAATTTACTGACACGGTGTCATCTGGCTTTCACTCATTTTTTTTTAGTTTTGTCGTCGATGGATGGCTCCCCAGCGCTGGTCCTGGTCTCTCCTACTCCTTTGAAGTTTGATACTACTCCTCCTACCTCTACTCCATCAACCTCCTACTCACCTCCTCCACGATTCTCTACTGCGCAGACGAGGGTGCGCCCAACCTCAGAGACTACCATAGTCTCCATCTATTCCATGTACGGGGACGACCATCCTAGGACCAGCTGGTCAACATCGTCAGTCGTCGCACATAGCGACCGAAAATCACACGATACCACTGCGGTACCACCAGTGCCGACTGTTAAAATAAAACTTGCTGATAATCAACGCCTCTCGACACACAACGACACCGAGTTGGCCTTTCATGACAATCACGATACGACCAATGACACATATACCCCGACTGACAGCGCGAAGGAGGCCAAGGAGACACTCAGCCTACGGACAAGTGCCACCTCGTCCCGTTTATCGCGAATAAGTCCGCGCAACTCCCACGTAAAGTCTGAGTACATCGACCAAGACCTTGCACATCTTCCCCCTCTTCCTCCATCCCGCCATGACACACCCGCCCCTACTCCTCCACGTCAGCCCTCGCCAACCCCCAACCACCTGGTCTCTCCACCAAGCAAAGTCTCTCTCGTTCCGTCCGAAGGCGAGGATATGGACGCTTTCCATGTCCGAAACACCTACGCCCAACTCGAGGTATCCGGTGTCAAGGGCGACGGTTTCGACGAAGGTGTCGAGCGCACACGAGCGCGCATCGGGCCTAGCCGATCGAGCCAACTCAACGCAATCGCCGCTGTAGGCGACGGAACGGAAAAGTCCAAATCACTCGGAGCCAAGGAGATGCAGACGCTCGCTAGTGTAGACCGGTGAGTTCGAGCCCGCGCGCCCGCGTTCCTTCTAAAAATGTAAACATGATATTCATATATAACGTACAACAAGATACGGGTTCTTCTCTGTACCTTCACATGACCGACTCGTCCTCCTCAACTCCGCACCCCTCCTCAAGCGTCTTGCCCCTGTGAAAGCGGGCCAGCCAACTGCCCCTGCCTCACCCACTGCGCTGCGCGGGCTCCCGCCCGTGACGACGCCCCCAAAAGAGTCGTCGCGCATCGCCAAGTGGACTCGGATGCTCGTGCCGCTAACACGCGATACGGGCGCAAACATCGCGACGTGGGGTGTACGGACGGGGAAGGACGCCAAGCTTCGGCGGCGGGTGTACAAAGGCATTCCAGACCCATGGCGGCGCGCTGCATGGGACCTATTAATGTCGCGATACTCGAGCCTTGGGCCTCGGGAGATAGAAGCACTCGCGAGGGAATACCGGGAAGCACTGGATAAACCGTCTTCGTACGACATCCAGATCGACCTGGACGTCCCGCGGACGATCAGCGGACACATCATGTTTCGAACGCGCTACGGTGCGGGGTGAGTGCCTTCGTCTTCCTTCCTACGTCACCCCTCCGACATGTACTGATGGCATATCTTCCTGGACAGCCAACGCTCCCTCTTCCACGTGCTCCATTGCTTTTCCCTCCGGTGCGGGAAATGCGGGTACGTCCAAGGCATGGGCCCCATCGCCGCGACGCTCCTCTGCTACTTCGAGCCCGAGCTCGTCTACGCGTCCCTCGTGCGGTTGCACAACGCGTATTCGCTGCACACCGTGTTCTCCCCGGGGTTCCCGGGGCTCCTGGAGGCGATATACGTCCAAGAAAGAATCACGGAGCAAATGATGCCCGATGTGTTCAAGGCGTTCAAGAAACATATGATCTCGACCACGTCGTATGCGACGAAGTGGTATATCACGCTGTTCAGCAATTCGGTACCGTTCCAGACGCAGTTGAGGTTTTGGGACGCGTTCTTGATGGAGGGGTATGATGTGTTTATCGCGATTTCCGTCGCTATTGTGTGGATTTATCGAGGTGCGTTGGTTTGGTTTGTTTTGGGACTAGATAGTAGATGCTGATGGGTTTCTTACGCTGGACACAGACCAGATAACGTCTGCCTCTGCGAACTTCGAGACCGTGCTGTCGCTTTTATCGTCCTTCTTCGTGCCGGAAGACGAGGACGTCCTCATGGCGTGGATCGGTCGCATGCTCGGGGACTCGAAGTTGCGGGCGAGCATGCGTGCGTGGAAGGAGGAGTGGCGAGCGCTCGTCGCGTCTGGCAAGGAGGGAAACGCATTGCTCTGATTGTCTGTCAGTCGACCCTGCTACCTCTCTTTCCCGCATCTCTTCCTACCCACCCTTACTTACTGCATGTGTATATGCATTTGCTTGCTTGCTTGCGTGCTTGGACACACACCACTTGCTATCGTGACTATATGTTAAACTTATTCATAACGATTAATATCACTCACGTGTGCACTCCACCATTTCTACTACCTTTAGTTTCTGACTCTTATTCACATCACATTGTTTCCGTGGCTTTGGTAGTAGATTGGTTTCATTTGTTCTCCTCTGCTGTAATGTGTAGTTTAGTTTTGATTTTCATCCCCAAATTACTTTGGCGCCCGA